ATGATGACTTCCTGCAAATCATTTTGTTTATACATGAGATAAATATGCCAAAGATTAATAGTTAGTCAGGAAATATTATTAAGATCCCTTACAAAGAAGACATTATACTTAGCGGCTCAGAGAAGGATTCATATCCTGTGTATCCACATTTTTCAGCTGTGCACTGTATCTGGTGACTAGTTCTCACAAGGCCACTTCAGAGAAGTATTAGCAGAGTGTTGACCTGTGTCCTGTTAGATTAGGTCCAGCCCAGGTTAAGAGAAGTGACTAATTCTTTAGGCAGGCCAACCTGGGGGTAGATTCCTAGATCCTGAAGAAGATGACCTTTCTAAACTGACCGGAAGTGAGTTTTCAGCTCTCTGGACTCCGGGCTTGTCCCGTTCTGGGAAGACAGTCATTGCTTTTTTGACAAGAAAAAAGTATAAGAAGATAAGATACCTGGGGTGAGGGCAAGGAGCTGATCCTTTTATACATTTAGTTAAATTTTTATTTAACTATCTATAAAAAGTGTTGAGAATACAGATATAAATTAGACACTATTCTGCCCTCATGTGACTTATAATCTAAACTAATGGCAAGACAAACCTAAATAAAGAACAATATATCTTATAAGAATCTGATTTCTGTTCAAAAGACAGTGGGAGCCAAAGAAAGGAATGACCAATTTTGTGTAGAGAGACATGAAAGACTTCTTTATTTTTATTTTTATTTTTTATTTTTAAGTAATCTCTACACCCAGCGTGGGGCTCTAACTCACAACCCGGAGATCAAGAGTCACATGCTGTATGGACTGAGCCAGCCAGGTGCCCCTGGACATGAAGGATTTCTTAGTGGTGACTATTGAACTGAGCCTTAAAAGAGAAGTAGGAGGTTATGAAGTGGGGGAGGCAGAGAAGAGGTCATTCTAGGCAGAGACCAGCCCAAGCAAAGGCCAAGAGCTATACAGCTGTAACCTGTATGCCTGCAGCACAAGGCCGTGGAGTGCGCTGGAGGAAAGGTGAGGCTCCAGGCAGTGTCTGGGTCATGAAAGCTGCGTATCTTTCCAGGAAGGGACAGACAGGAGATGCGTTGAGGCGCAACCAACAGAACTGGGCAATGGCTGAGATACAGAGGGTGCTGAACCAAGCTGGATAGTGGCGCTACTCATCTGAGGCTGTGCCTTGTCACCTCTGACCTGCTGTCACATCTCTACGTCACCGGGTACGCTTGCTGTTACCCACCGTTCCCAGGCTCTCCCTTGTTCTCCCCAGACCGGCTCAGCCTTCAGACCTGCCAGGGCCTGCAGGACAAACTCGTGAAGAGGAACAGGGAAGGAACAAGGGAAAGATAGGTCCAGGGCTTGAAAGAACTGACAGGATGGGGCCAGACTTGACTCACACAGTGAAATCCACTGGTGCCCAGTACCAGGTTAAGAAATGAAGCCCAGGGGCCATTCAGAATCAGGGGGACAGCAATTTTGTAACTGCAGCTTATTTGCCACCCACAGGCTCAGTGCCAGAATTTACTATCCCGCTACCCACATTTCCACTTGGAAATGTATTTCTTATTCTGGTGGAAACGTGAGATCTTTCAAACAGCTGATTTTCCCTCTAAAATCAAGCAGAATCAAGCTTTAACAAATGGAACTTGGTCTTCCTTTTCAGCTCTTTTATTTGATTTTCATGGTATTGTGTTTTGAAGAGCAAAGCAAATGCGGACAGTTGATTGTTTTCTTAACCTGGCGAGAAAAAAAAAACAAAACTGGCAAAGCATGGTAAAGGGTTAGCAGGTGAAGAGGAAGGCCTTATCAAGTAAATGTGGACTATCAGCCCACGATCTGTGAGCCAAGACACACTCAATAAGCAAGGCCAGCATCACCCAGAATTTTGTAAATGGCAGATGAGCGTGCTTTCAACCCAGTCCTCGAAGACTTTTTTTCTAAAACACCCGAGACGCCTGGTTAGACTAAGAAAGGTATAAGATTTTGTCTTCTAGGGTCTTGGGCTCCACCTTGGGAACTCTAAAATGAGAGTGGAAAAAGCTCAGAGAGCAGACAACTCCAGTGAGAACAAATGGTCACAGGCATCATATCAGCAGTGAATAGATTGCCTTTGACGTGCGAGTCAGGAAGTAGTCTGTCCTCTCAGATGTGTGGGCCAGCTTCCCTCCTGGAGGCCTGGGATTGCGAAATCCTTGCCTGGCCTTTAGGATGTCACCGGCCAGAGTCTACCTCTCTCAGATGTTCACCAACAAATGAATTCCTCTAAATCTTGTCAGGGAGCTTTCCTCCCCAACCAATGGTTGAGGTGAACGCTTGGCCTATTTAAATGGTAGCCCTTTGACATTTTGATTGTCTCTATCCAACCTTGGAAGAAAATTTTAAGAGAGATTTGACCATATAGTCAGTAGGCCATCAACTGTAGACCTAGAAAATAGTTAAATTCAGAGTAAGCAAATGTAAGATTTCAGCCAATTCGGTGGACACTGGCTTATTTACCCAACACTCTAGAACATGCAGGAGAAAGAATTAACATGACCGAATGCTTGCTAGGTGCCACTTTGTTCACAAGCAGTACGTGAGAATAAAGAAATTCCCAGAGTAATGCCCTTTTACCTCGTTACAGTTATGTAATCACTTAATCTTTGCCACAACTTATGAACGTGATATTAATATCTTTAATTTACAGATGAGAAAGTTGAGGCTTAAAGTGATCAAAGGGACCCATGTTAGGAAATGGACACAAGCATATGAACCAAGATCTGTCTGTTCCCAAAAGCCTACCTGCTTTTTCTGTGTCACAAGGGAGCGAACGACAGCAAAGACATTTACTAAAGCTTGTTTCAAAAGCTTCTTTGGCAATGCAAGCAACTTTGAGAGCTTGTCAGACCAATTACACAATCCCCTTCCTCTTTTGGATCCAGCCCAGGGAAGAACAGAGTAAGCCCGCCACCTGAAGGCAGCTCAGCAGGCAAGAGCTGGGAGCCAGGGCCACTGTAGGCAGGGTGCTGAGGACAGGGAGTCCTAGGCGGGTGGCTCACCTCTGCCCTCAGCCAGCTCCCTGACAGGCTTTGCGTGTGAGCCTGCAAAGAAGAGGAAAGAAAGGGATGAATCTGTGGCAGCCAAACCCAAGAAGAGCAGGTCTTCATCTTTGTAGAAACAGAAATGAGGGGAGGGAGGCACTGTCCTGTCGTTTTCTCCCGCCCCTCCCCCACCACCACTAAAACCCTGAGGTGTAGAGTTGGCATTCGAGGTCCATTTGGGCATGACTCGCAAAGACAGTTTCTATCCATTGACCTGTTTTGAATACAGAAAAGTCAGGCTGAGAGGTTCTGGTAGCATATAAATTAAAGATATGGAGGTGTCTCATTGAAATTCTGAAGATGTACTGATCCTACCCTCGATTTCTCTCATCAGAAGAGTTCTCTTGTAGTGCTGCTACTGACTTATTAATAAAGATCACGCTTATATTTGATTATTTATCTAATCAGGATTCACCTTCAGTTTAAGCTCATTAGTCTGCTGTTAGAGTGATGCTCTAAGTGTACTTGATGGTGGGATTACATCCAAGTGAGAAGGAGAACGCATTCAGACGTTAATGGTCAGAAGCCGAGACAATACCCCGCCAGCCATGGCACCCTCGAGGGGAGCGTGTGCGCTCTCTGCCAACCAAACAGAAAGGGCACATGTTTCCAAGAGCGGAGGAAGGGCTGAACGTTATAATTAAATACACTCAGTAACAGAGAAACAAAAATGACAAGCGCTCTAATTATTTCAAAAACCAAAAGAATAATGCCCATTCTTCATATGCACGATGTTGAGGAAGCTTTTGTAATGGACCTTCATTGAAACGTCTTAAGTTATGTTCAGGATGCTGGTTGCTTGGCGTGCCCCAGCCTGGCTCCCAGGGACTTGCACTTAACCTGTTCGCTTCCCCTTGTTCATAGGTCTTCTGAAGTGGTTGTAATATCATCCAGCCTAGCAATATCTCTCCTGGGTCTTGGGGAGCAAGTAACTAAAGCATCTCATTCTTACCTGTTGGGAAGTGGCCAAGTTTAGCTGCTGGAGAGAAGTCCTCTTCTCGAAGCTGTCTTGCCCCACAAACTGGAAATGCCACTTTTTGCTGGGCTAGGAAACCTCCAGCTACCACAGCGCCACCCTGAAAGAGGGCCGTGAAGCGCAGAGCCGTGCAGTTAACCAAGGCCAGTGTGTTCCCCTCCTCGGAAACGCTGCGGCTGACTTGGCACTGTAATGGGCTAAATTATTTATCCAGTCGGATAAGAGAGAAAGCTGCTAAGAGCTTCCTGAGTTGATAGCCTCACGCCCTGGATCCACTCTGAGACAGGAAACAGGCTGGGCTCCGTCAGCAAAGAGGGGGAAAATAAAAATTTTTTAAAAATAGCCTTCCTCCAAAGTCCTCTGCCGTCACCACTCTCACTTATTACCAGTATCTGTTGAATGAATCGTATCATCTGAAAATGGAAGAGCACTGGGCATTTGGGTTTGGAGCCTTTCTTTGACCCCCAACCTGAAATTTGTCGAAGAATGGCCCTTCCCTAATGGGGAAAAGTCCCCGCACCTTAGGCGAGGAAGAGACAGGTTTACGTCGAGGAGGAACAGAAAGGACGCCCCCTACTGGCAGGTCAGTGAAATCGCTGGCAAGGATCATCTGAAAGACCGATGTCAGAGTCAAGCTGCCCTGGCAAGCAAACATGAAACAACCCCTAACGGGGCTGTTCATGGTGTGAACCAGCGTTGGATGTTGTAGAACATAAAGCCTGCAGTGGAATCGGTTTCATGCATAAGCACAAACAGAACACTCTAAAAAAAAGGTGATATTCAACTTGGCTGTGGAGTACAGAACAGACATCACTATTGCTTAGAAATTACCTGAGAAGGAGCCCCAGGCAAGACAGAAAAGTCAAAGGCCTGTAATGTGTGATACAGATTGTAGGTGGAAGGGGGTGCGAGTCACAGGGAAATTGAAGTTCTCAGTCTCATTTCCGTGTACTGTTCTCTGTAGGTGGAATTGGCTGTGTAGGTCGAGACAAAGGCCAGGTTCGAAAGTGCCTTGATGTGGTGGAGATCTATAACCCTGATGGGGACTTCTGGAGAGAGGGCCCACCTATGCCAAGTCCCCTGCTCTCCCTCCGAACCAATTCCACCAATGCAGGAGCCGTGGATGGGAAGCTCTATGTCTGCGGGGGATTCCACGGAGCAGGTATTGATCCCATTGCAAATGCTTGATAACCTCCCTCTGCATTGACTTTAACCTCTCCCCTTAATTGACCCGGCCGCCAAAGAATAATCCTGAGAGCACGGTGAGCCCTGGCAAAAGCCCGGCCTTCAGAGCCAAGCTCTGAACTTGGCTTTTCACATCAGCAAAAGAGCGCTACTACCTTCACAGGCTACCGTTCGGGTGAAATGAGATCTAGTTTATAATGTGTCTGCCAGGGGCGCCTGGGTGGCTCAGTGGTTAAATCCTCTGCCTTCAGCTCGGGTCATGATCTCAGGGTCCTGGGATCGAGCCCCGCATCGGGCTCTCTGCTCAGCGGGAAGTCTTCTCCCTCCACTCTCTCTCTATGCCTACTTGTGATCTCTGTCTGTCAAATAAATAAATAAATAAATAAAATCTTTAAAAAAAAATGCGTCTGCCATAGAGCAGACACTCAGTAACTCTTAGCTGAATACGAGAACAGAGTTGGGAAAAGCAAGTCGAATCCTAATTGCCGTGCTGACGCTTGAAGAACAGGTGGAAGTGGAGTCACGACCGGAAGTGCTGGGTTTTATCACTGTCCTTATTGACCAAGAGAGCCCGCCCTCAGAGGACGTGCTTCTCCCTTCTCCACTGCTCCCACTTCAAATAAATTGCTTGAAAGCATTTCTAAAGTAATGCCTAATGCATGTAATTATTACGACACTTAGTTCCCACCTATCAAATTGTACCATCTTTGCAATATACAGTATGGATTTATCATTTTTAACGTAAGGGGACATTTTTAAATATGCACAAAGCTAATAAGCAACTTCCTGCAAAGCTTGATTGGTTGCATCAGTAAATAAGGCAGAGTGCAGTTATATTAAAATGACTAACTGTTCAATTCTAACCTCGCTAATAGAAGCACTAGGCCAGTACATATCCGTGAAAAGCATGCCATGAGAGCACTTCAAACTTTGGAAGGGTGCCAGATTCAAATAAAGCTGACACTGCAACAAGGCCAAGCCTTTAATAAGCCCATCTTCATTTTTAATGCACATCGTTATATAGAAGTTAAAGAATGAAGTTATCATTACAAACTAAAAGAGACAGGAGATAAATGAACCAAATACAATGAGTGGGCCTTATTTGGCTCTTGATTTGGACAAATCTTGCATAAAAAGATATTTTTCAGATAGTCCGGAAAATTTTAACATGGACTAGAATATTAGAGGATAGTAGGGAATTGTTCATTGTTAGGTTATGATAATAGTGGCATTGTGGTTTTGTATAAAGGAGAAAGGAAAAAGAAGAATGTGAACAATTAGAGATCACTTAAAAGTATTTATGGGTGACAAGGATATGCTGTCTGAAACTCACTTTCATCTACTCCAACAAATACTTTTTAAAACAAGTCAATGGAGTGAGGGGGGGAAGAGCAGATTTTATGGCGTCGGTAAAATGTTGATAATTGTTAAAGTTGGCTAATGGATGCATCATCAGCACATTATTTCACTACTTCTGTGTACGCTTGAACATTTCCATAATAAAAAGCTTTCATTTCCCTTTTCCCTCTCTTTCTTCAAAGGACTTTCCAAAGAGGTTTTTTAAAAACTATTTTAAAATTTTTTTAACTATTTCTTTTATATGAAACATCACATCCTTATGTAAAGGAATCTATCATGGTAGCAAGAAACCTGGCTCGGGAAGGAGATCTGATGGATTTCCCCTGGTTCACGCTCTGGGCGCAAGCCAGGACACGAGGAGCCAGGAGAGAGATCCCAGCTGCTGGACCTGCACACACAACCAGGGCTCTCCTCCAGCTGCGATCACAAATCTCCTCTCCATCCTCTGGCTTTTGGCTTTCTCCTCACGAGAAGAACAGAGAATTACAAAAGGTAGCCCCAGGGCATCCAGAGGGATGGGTGACAATTAGCGTCTAAGGGCCTGAAAGATATTCTGTTTTGTCTTCTGTCTTTATCTTATCTTTCCTTGTATAATATCAAGTTAGAGAATTGATACCCTCCAGCTTTTCAAACCTGTCTACACTCATACCGTGAGACAATCTCTTTTCTTGGTACTGTAGTGGATACTTTCAGCCAGAGGGAAAGGGATTTACCATATGACTCTCAAAGTCCATTTTAATTATTTGGTTCTAACACAGTGGATTTTCTGGGATTAGCTAAATGAATCATCACTGGGGTTTTATGAAAATGGAGCAATTGTATAATAGCGTGCTCGTGATGAACCAGCAACCTCAGCATCAGATCTAAAAACAGGCACTGAATTTTCTCTCCTCGTGTGACACGAACCTAGTCATCCCATTTACTTAGTCAGAAAACCACAATCAAGAAATTAATCTCTTATAATCTACTCAGTGAATTCAGTAAAAAGGTGATTGAAATGTAACTTTTGATAAGCATTTGGGATGCCAGCAGTATGTCCAACATGTCAAGAAAGACAGATTCATAAACATGTGATAAATGTAATAATTTGATTTTGGTTAAAATACTAGTTTGAACACCTCTATTTTCTCCCCAAGCCTCACTAAAATGACAGTGAAAGGAATAAACCCAGTCGGACAAAGGAAAGAAGAGGGAGGGCAACAGCAACCAAATTCTGGAAGCTAGAGGGCCGATGAATGAGTAGTAATTAACCAGACCTGAGAAAGTTCAATCCTGAACTGGTCACAGGAAAAGCAAGCATACAGACAAAACCCCCAGATTTGTAGCACAGAACCCTGGGCAACCTCAGGGACTGGCAACAGCAGGCACCTCTGGAGGAGGGAATGAAGGTGATGCTGCCAGAGGAAAGGAAGACCTGACTCTCCTCCTTGCTCTCAGTAGGGACCCAGAGCCTCGCCTCCACCCTAATGGAGACCAAAGCTGAGGCCAGGAGCGGAAGGTGGGTGCTCGGTACTGAAGCAGGCAGAGTAAGTGAACAGCTGCACACAGAATATTGAGATCCCCACCTTTCTTCCTTCCTGGCTTTCAGAATGTGGACAACCATACCCTCCAGGCATGGGACTGGAAGACTTGTCTTTGGCCAGCCCTGAAATAAGGCAAAGCCAAATCACCCCGTCGAGAACCTCACAGAGAAAGCTTCCACAGCATCCCACTCTTAAAGATAAACAAACAGCTGGAGGCTCTCAGAGATCTGAGGAAAGTATGTAAATCAGAGATAAAGTCAAAACAAATAAAAAAGAGCAACTTGGAGGAAACGGAACTTGTAACAGGAGAAGTGTCCTCAGAGACGTAAGAGAAAACACTGCCGTCAATGAACGGGAAAAGCATATTTCAAGGAGTTCTTGGAAATTAAAAGTATGATAGGCAAAATTAAATATACAATAGGAAATTTGGAGGGTATAGTGGGAGGAACTTCTCAGAAAGCAGAGAGAAAACCAGTTCGATGGAAAGTAAGACAGGAAACAAGTCCAAAGTGTCCATCGTTTGAATAAGAGGAGTTCCAGTAAAAAAGAGCAGAGAACATGGGGAGGAATAAATCATCTGTAAAATAAATTAAGAAATTTTCCCAGAACTGAAGTCACCAGTTCGCAAGGATACACCACATGAAATACACAGAGTGAATGAAAACCAACCCAAACTAAAGCACCTGGGGACAAATAAAAGATCCCTAAAACTTCCAGAGAGAGAGGGGAATAAGTTTCATACAAAGTGTCAAGAATCAGAACGGCATCCAATTCTGAACCAAGACCTTGGAATCCAGAAGAAAATGGAACAAATGCCTTCAAAGATCCTATGGGGACATTATTTTCCACTTACACTTCTATACCTGCTGAATTATTCATTAAGCGGGAGGGCACAAATTCAGCCAAGCAATGTCTCAAAACATGTAACTCCTCTGTGCCCTTTTATTAGGATACGATTCACCAAAAATGGACAGATAAACCAAAAAAGAATCGACACTGGATCCAGGGAACAGGATCAAACACGATAGAGAGGAAGAAATTCCCAGGAAGATGTTGAGGGGCGATCTGAGGGGAGATCAGCACAGAATGGGGCAGCTCGAAAGGCTTAGTGGGAGAAGACTACCAGCAGAGAAAACGGATGAGATCTTCATGTTTTGGAAGATCTAGACATTTAGACATTTGGAGAAGAGCAATGAAAACGAACCAAACCGAGCAATTGGCTTGGAGAAAACAAGAAGCTGCACAGGAAAGGAGAAGTATGGCACATGGCTCATCTGTGAATAGCTTTTATAATAATAGCGTCTAATAATGTAAGTATTAAATCCTGCGCTGACCAACATCACACAGGAAACCAGGAAGTAGGCAAACACGGGGATGTGAAAGAAAGGTGGAACCGCATTTTCCACTTTCCACAGTGGGCACCGAGAGTCAATACCTTCCTCTGAGAAATCAAGCAGCATCAGTAGTATAAAAAGTGTTATTTACAGGAACAGTGCCCAATGCCAGCAGACTCAGCCAGAGTTGAAAGAGGAGCAGTAAATGGGGGGGAGGGGAGGAGATGACTGTTTTTTTTGTTTGTTTGTTTGTTTGTTTGTTTTTAAGATTTTATTTATTCACTTGACAGACAGAGATCACAAGTAGCAGAGAGGCAAGCAGAGAGAGAGAGGAGGAAGCAGGCTCCCCGCCGAGCAGAGAGCCCGATGCGGGGCTCGATCCCAGGACCCTGGGATCATGACCCGAGCCGAAGGCAGAGGCTTTAACCCACTGAGCCACCCAGGTGCCCCGAGATGACTGTTTTTAAGGAATACACCTGGTAAAGCTGTTTGACTCTTTTACATCATGTGCGTGTACAACCGATAAATCAAAAACTAAATTTAAAATGTATGAATAATCGCTTCTCGGCCTTTTGGCGAAGATCAAGTGTAGTTCTTATCAGTTTAATAAAATGTATGAATAATAGTACATATAATGCAGGAGTAATGGGGATTGGGGGGAGGGATATGAAGGAAAATATTATCTAGGACGTCTGTTGGGAGCTGATTCTCCATGAGTCTCAGGCATGTCTTGTGAGCAGAAGCACTGACTGTCTTTGTCC